TAATGTTGGCCATGGGTTTATCATAAATTGCCTTAATTGTGTTGAGGATTGTTCCTTCTAACCCCAATTTGCTTAGAGTTTTCATCATGAAAGGGTGTTGTATTTTGTCAAATGCTTTCTCTGTATCTATTAAGATAATCATATGATTTTTGTTGCTCAATTTGTGATGTATCACATCGATTGATTTTTGAATATTGAACCACCCCTGCATACCAGGGATAAATCCCACTTGGTCTGGGTGAATGAACTTTCTGATGTGTAGTTAGATTCGGTTTGCCAAGATTTTGTTGATAGTTTTGTATCTATGTTCATCAGGGAGATAGGTCTATAATTTTCTTTCTCTATTGCATCTTTTCCAGGCTTAGGAATTAAGGTGATATCAGCTCATAGAAAGAATTTGGGAGGATTCCCTCCCTTCCAATTGTTTTGAATAATTTGAGAAGAACTGGGGTTAGTTTTTCTTTAAATGTCTGGTAGAATTCAGTGGTGAAGCCATCCGGTCCTGGGCTCTTTGTTTTGGTAGAGCATTTATTACTGATTCAATTTGTTTCATGGTTATGGGTGTATTTATGTTTTCTATATCTTCATGGCTCAGTTTAGGAAGGTTGTATATTTCCAGGAATCTACCAATTTTTTCAGGATCCCCAATTTGTTGGCATACATCTCTTTGTAGTGGTATCTGATGATTCTTTTTATTTCTGTTGGGTCTGTTGTTAAATTTCCATTACCATCTTTAATTTTATAGATTTGGGTCTTCTCTCTCCTTTTTTTGGTTAGTTGGGCCAATGGTGAGTCAATTTTGTTTATTTTTTCAAAGAAGCAGCTCTTGGTTTTGCTGATGTTTTGAATTTTTTTTTTTTTTGGTTTCAATTCTGTTTATTTTTTCTCTAATCTTTAGTATTTTTTTTTTCTTCTGCTGGGTTTGGGTTTGGTTTGCTGCTGTTTTTCCAAATCATTGAGGTACATGTACAGGTCATTTGTTTGGTTCTTTTCCAGTTTCTTGATGTAGGCATCAATTTCCATAAACTTTCCGCTTAGCACTGCTTTTGCTGTATTCCACAAGTTTTGATAAGTTGTATTGTCATTTTCATTTGTTTCTAGAAATTTTTTGATTTCACTTTTGATTTCTTCTATGAACCACTATTCATTCAGAATCATGTTGTTCATTCTCCATGTGTTTGCATATGATGCAAAGATTCTTGAGTTGTTGATTTTGAGTTTCATTGCGTTATGATCTGAGAAGATGCATGGTATAATTTTAATTTTTTTTGAATTTGCTGAGGCTCCCTTTATAGCCTAACATATGGTCAATCCTAAAGTATGTTCCATGTACTGGGGATAAATTCGTGAACTCTGGCTGTGGGGTTGAAGGCTCTGAAGATATCTACTAGGTTTATTTGGTCTATAGCATCAATTAACTCTGTTGTTTCCTTGTCGGCTTTCTGTCTGGTTGATCTGTCCATTGGTGAAAGTAGGGTGTTGAAGTCCAATGTTACTATTGAATTTGAGTCTATATCGCCCTTTAATTCCTTTAGTAATTATAAAGTAAGTAACCAGGCGCCCTGTAATTAGGTGCATATACATTTATAATAGTAATGTGTTCATGTCGGATTGATCCTTTAATCATTATATAATGTCCTTCTTTGTCTCTTTTAATAGTTTTTGTGTTAAGGTCTATTTTGTCTGATATTAGGATGGCCACACTATCTCTGTTTTGTTTCTGTTAGCTTGGAATATCTTTTTCCATCCTTTCACTTTTAGTCTGCATGCATATTTGCTGATAAGGTGTGTTTCCTGAAAGCAGCAAATAGATGGAATTTCTTTTTTAATCCAATCAGCTAGTCTGTGTCTCTTTGTTGTAGAGTTGAGGCCATTTACATTCAGTATGACTATTGTTAAATACTGTATTTTTTCAGTCAGGTTTCTTTAAAAGAGCTGTTCATGTATTTTGAGATTTGTTTGTAGTTTAGTTGGGTTATTTTCTACTTTAGTCTTTTTTTGTAGTGAAGTTCGTGTTTCTGTATTTCTGTTGCAGCACGTCTTTGAGCCAGTGTTGTTGAGCTGGACGCAAGGATACAATTTCTTTCAGTTTCTGTCGTGGAAGATCTTTATTTCCCCTTAATTCATAAATGACAGCTTTGCAGGGTACAGTATTCTAGGTTGGCAGTGTTTATCTTTTAAAACTTGGAATATATCATGCCATTGTCTCCTTGCCTGTGGTGTTTGTGGTGAGAAGTCTGGGGTGAGTCTGATTGAATTATCTCTGGATGTGATTTGCCGTTTCTCTCTGGCATATTTTAGGATTTGTTCTTTGTGTTTCACTGAGCTGAATGTTGCCACAATGTGTTGCAGTGAATTTCTCTTCTGGTCTATTTTGTTGGGGTTCCTGCGTATTTGTTGAATTTGGTTGTTTCTTTCAATTTGCCTATGTTGGAAGTTTTCTGATATTATTTCATTGAAAATGCTTTCCAATCTATTCTCTCTTTCCACACCTTCAGGGACTCCTGTTATCGGGACATTACAATGCTTGATTGAATCTTATAGGTCTCCAACTGTATTTTTTGATTTTCTAATTTCTTCTTCCTGTGTTTGAACTGATTGTATTATTTTTGGAATTTTGTCTTCAAGTTCTGATATTCACTCTTCTATTTCATCTGTTCGATTTCTGAGGGATTCCACAGTGTTTTTTATATGGTCAATTGAGTTTTTCATTTCCAGTATTTCATTCTGGCTTCTCTTTAGGATCTCTAATCCTTGGGCATGCTTTTCATTCAAATCTTGAATCTGTTTCTCATTACTTCTAAGTAATCTGTTTATTAATTTTCTGAATTCCTTTTCGGGCATGATTTCAAATTCAAAGTCTATTATGGACGGTTTAGCCTGCTCCATTGGTGAGTTCATAGGTTCTTCTGTATTCTTATTCAGGATTTTTCCTTTGTTCTTCAGATTTTTATTTGGTTTAATTTTCAGGTTGATTTCCTTCTGCTATGGGTCTGTACCAATAGCCAGCATAAGCAGGCAGCTCCTCCTTCTAGTGTTTGTTGATTTCTGGTAACTTGAGTAGGCTGGTACCGGGGCTTTGAGGTACCAAGCTCCGCCCCCTGGGGCTGGTCTCCCTGTTCCTTTGTTTTCCCTAAAGTGCCTGGGCCTCCTTTATTCAGCTCCCTGTAACAGTGTCCCCTGCACGAAGAGTGGGGATTCGCTCCAAACTGCTGTGGTCCTTGTTCCCTGGATGGTGTGGTCCCCACCACGAAGTTCACATGTTTGGGAGGCAAAAGCAGAGTCTGCTTTCTTTCACACACGAATGTAAGCAAACAAGATGGCTGCTCTCTGCCTGCTGCAGCTCTGGTTGTGGTGGGTGGGGAGAGACACTGAGGGATCGTGGCATGTTCAGTCTCTCAGTTCATCCCCCTGGATCGCACCCTCTTCCTGCAGGTGCTATTCACTATGTTTTGATTTCCTTCCCCACTCAACCATGCGTGTGTCTCACCTGCCCATCCCAGGGTAGGTCAGAGGTGGCAGCAGCAGTGGCGGCAGCAGTGGCATTAGAGGCAGCAGCAGTCATCCTCCCACTGGTTCTTTGTTCCGTTCTCTTTCTGAAGTTCTGCGCACCTTTACCTGGGCATGCATTCTCTGGCGTGCTCCCATGTCACTCTGCGCCAACCTTTCATGGTTCTGTCGCCTGACTGTCCCCTCTATTCATCAATTTCTCTCTGCATGACTCAGCACACCTTGCTGCTATACTGCCATCTTCAGCCCCTCTCCCATTGTCTCTCAGTGAGTATCTTGAGGCATGTGCTGGGTGTAGCTAGGGAGCTCTGTTCAGTGCTCCAGTGTGAGGGGAGTGTCCAAAGTGACACTGAAGTTGGGCATGGTAAATATCTTCTTCTTCTTTTTTTTTCAATCAGAGGGGTTCATTAATCTGCTCTGTTGGTGTAGTCTCATGCTCACTTCCTCTCTTCCAAGGAGACCAATACTTGGTCACCAGCCCCAGTGGGTATTTGTTCAAAACTGCCACAAGAACCACACAAAGGAGCCATGCAGTCCTAGGTGTGAGCATAGATCCTACAGCAATGACCCTCACTAGGAATTCTGGGTGCCCTGAGCATGTGGAGCTGAGCACAGTGACTACTCAAGGGCCCAGTCACACCCTGTGCCCTCATACGCAGACACAGCGTTTTCACAGTCCTAACACACAAGGCTCTCATAGTCAGGAGCACCCAGCCCCCTGTCAATTCTCCCAACCAGACTCAGGCATCTCATCTCCTATCAGCTGATTGCTTGGTGTGCGGACACAAACTGTTGCAGCTGTTATGTATGTCCCAGGCACTTTGCATAATTTTCTGTGGGATTTTTCTTTTCTCAAACTTGTATCTTCATTACTCTTAAGAGTTCATAACATCACTCATGCTACAAGTCCAAGTCACCTGCTTCCTTTTTGTGACTCCCATATCCACTCTCCCAGCTAAGTCCTGTCCATTCTACCTCAACAGTCTTCCCATCCCTCCTCTTAACCTAGGCAATTTCAGTAGGCTCTCAGCTTCACTTAACCTCTTCTTACTCCATACTACTTTATATATACAATACTAGATTCATCTTATGGAAACATAAGCTCTGACCATGTATCCCACATGTGTTCTATCTCCCCTACTAGACTGTAAGCTCCTTATGGGCAGGATCTATGTCTGTCATCTTTGTATCACCCATAGCATCTTACCAATAAACATTTTTGAATGAAAAAAAATTGCTTAGTAAATATATTAAATATTGCCATTTCTAGTGCTTGCTCTGGATTAAATATTGAGTCATTGTTAGCATCCATTACTTCAGAAATGGAAAACTCTACAGAATGAATTTTAAAACTTTTCTTGCAGTCAATCTGGAGGGTAATGTGGAAATATAAATATGAAAATATAGGTTCTCAATCTTTTGGGCACTTAGTAAAATCAAAAATTAAGAAAAATCTCCATATACGAACAGCTGAGAAATAAAGAACTTACTTGTTGTTCTCTGTGAAATCACTAAAATATAAGGAAAAAACAAATCCATTGAATTTTCTCAAACAGAAAACACATGATAATATCTAATATATTTAACTGGTATATGTGAGAGGAAGATATGAGTAGGCAAAAGAAGGAAGCATCCCATACAATATTATAGAATAGTTGCAGTGCAAACTTAGAATGAAGATTAAGCAGCGATGGAGTGATGAAGTCAAAAGTAGGATTTCCTTAAATGACCTCTTTTCTTCTTGGACCTAAGCAACTTTTGGAATAATCTTAAAAATCTTATAGATCAATAGATATTTCTGGCTCCTTTGAATAGCATTACAATCTTGGAGGGAACACCCACAGTCTCTTTCCATTTAAACATAATTATGCACTCTCTTGCTCACTTGCTCTCAAAAATTCCGCCTATCACTATTATTTAATAACATTCCTTAAAAAGATTTATTTATTTATTTTAAATACATACAAAGAGAAACACACACACACACACACACACACAAACAGTGAAATCTTCCAGCTGCTGTTCACTCTCCAAATGGCTGAATTGGCTGCAATGGGCAGGGCTAGACCTTGCAGATCAGGAGTCTGGAACTCTATCCAGATTTCCCCTGTGGGTGACATGGGCCCAAGTAGTTGGAAAACCTTCTGCTTTCCCAGTCACATGAGCAAGGAGCTGGAGCAAAATAGGCAGGTGGGACTTGAGCCAGTGTTCATATGAGATGCTGGTGCTGTGAATCAGCTTAGCCTACAGTGCCACCACTCTGCCCTCTAATATTCTTGAGTTTTGATTTCTTTCAATCTATGTTTTCTTTTTTAAAAAATTATTGTTTTTTTTTCACTTTTATTGAAAGGCAAATACACACATACACATGTACGTGCATGTGCGTGTACACACACACACACACACACACACACACACACTGTGGCAGGCAGAACCCAGGAGTCTGGAACTCAATCCTGGTCTTCTGTGGGGAGCAATCCGGACTGGACTAGGTTACTGGAATTAAGACTTATTCTATGCATCTGCTCTCCCACAATATGGCGCTGGGAGAGAAGAAAACAGCTTCTACCCAGCTGCCTCCAGTTCAGTCAATAAACTGTAGGACTTGCTCCTGATTGGTGGAGAGCAGCGTACTCGGCGTGTGGGCAGCTGAGTTGGGATTGGCAGAGGAGGACTATAAAGGAGGAGAGAGACGGCATGCACCAGGAACATCTAAGGGGAACATCTAAGGGGAACACCTGTGCAGCCCCCGAAGAGAGCCGGCCGGCCGTGTGCCGCTCCCCTGCGGAAGTGGGGAATGTGGCCAGGGGGAACTGCCCTTCCACGGAGGTGGAAGGGATAGTAGCCAACCCGGGAAGAACCAGCAGCGAACCCGGGGAGGGCCGAGCAGACAAAAGAACAGCGCAGGGTCCTGTGTCGTTCCTCCACGAAGAGGGGGAGCGACAGTCTTCCACATGGATAGAAGGGACCCACATTTTTGAACCATTATCGGTTGCTTTCCAGGGTGCGCATTAGCATATAGGTAGATTGGAAGCAGAGGGGCTAGGATTTGAACCCAGACACTCTGATATGGGATGTGAACACCCTAAGTATTGTCTTAAACACTGTGTCAAACACTTGCCCCATTAATCAGTATTTTTTTTAATTATCTGTAACATAAAGGAGGGTGGATAATAAGGAAGCAACAGAAGAAAAAGAAACTCAAATGTAACAAAAGTTCAGTAAAGGGGACCAAAAAGAACCAAAGCAGAGAAATAAATGAGTACTTACTCAGGGGTGCTAAAGGCATACCTAAACAAACATAAACATAAAACAACAAATTAGGCCTTGGCAGAGATTTGTTGGAAAGGAATAAGTTTCCTCCTAAGAAGGCCTATTTGTGTAATGTAGAGGCTTACTAGTAACACCAGTTGTGCGTTCAAATTATGGTTCTATGACTATGTATTCTTGGCTATGTGTTTCATCTCAGTTTCATATTCCTTACTAAAGGGATTAATAGGTTTTCTTTAGGATCAAATGAGATAATGTAATTAAAGCACATAGGAGGTACAAATTAAAATTGAAGAAATTAAGTGAATGGAAGCTTCCCTTACAGGAAAGGCTAGATGTGCAAGGGCATAGGAAACTGGAAGCCATGAATCTCAGGTTTCTGCACATAGAGTTAGAAATGACAGGACAGAGGTCCCCAGGCCTTGTAGAAAATGGCAACAACAGAAAACAGTAGACAGACAAATTCAACTTACCATGGGGCGCTGGAGATGGACCCGCTGAAAAACAGATGTATCTTAGCAACCTTTTTTTCTCCCACAGCTTTTTCCCCTTCTATTTAGAGAATTCTCTCTTTGTAAGGTCATTAACAGTAGGAAAAACTTTCCCTATTGGTATTTATTTACTTTTAGTGTCAATCAGTAGAGTGTGAATTTTCCAAAGAATCATTAATAACAACTTGGAATTTTGGTAATGGAAGGTAAGTTGGTAAAGTAATATGCTTTTCAAGCTCAGCATCCCAGCTCTGCCAGAGGAAAAAGATATTCCAGGCAAATGAAATTAAAGTAGAACAGAAAAAGGTATCTCCTTTTCCTTTCTTTTTTGTTCAATTTTAACTCCCCCATTCTTTTTTATATAAGTGAGTGAAGTTTGATTTTTCCATAACATTAACAGTAAGCTGAGACAATAATGGGTAATATAAAAGCAAGACATTGAGAAAATAGCAATATCAAGCTTCTAAAATCTCTGTATTGTGAGGAAATTTTTCTTTAGGTATCTCGGAACTCAAATGTGAAAAAATAGCACCCAATTGAAAATGGTTATAAAAAACTCCTTATCCTCTCCTTTCTCTGTTACCAATTTTTATTTTCTATATGTTTTTAGTTAATTTCTTTTTGATAGCTTTATGACTATATATTTTTTCTCTGCTCTTCATATTTCTGTAAATCCATAGTTATGACTTTCAGTATATCATTAATATCCCAGAAAAGTTTTGGTAATAATGAGATAGCAAGAAGTCAAGTTGTACTTTAAGCCCTTTGTATCTCAATCTGGCCAGATAAAGACTTTTGGACATGTAGAGACCAAATGAGTCCTGTGCAAGAGAATTAAATGAGCACAGATTTATTGATTAAATGAGGAGATAATTTTACAGCACAACAAGGAGATTTCCTATTACCCCCTTGTTTCTTATCCTACTCATTTTTATACTAATCATAAAATCTCCTGGTAATATGAGGATACACCAAAAAGTTTTGTGGAAAGTGGAATTAAAACATAAGCTCATTTTAGTACAAAAATTGTGATACATGCATAGTTTTTCCATGAACTTTCCCCATTAACTCTTTAAAGATACTTTGTATAATTGCTTGAAATATTTTTCTGATTAAAGGCATTTGAAATTTCTAGAAAACTGGTAGAATTCTGGATAATGAAAAAGCAAAAAGGCTCGAAAAATAGGCATTTCAAGTTCATGTGTTAAAACGCTGGTAACAGTATACATTGCTAGACTTTGGCAAATTCACAGCAGAGAAGCAAGTAAACAACTGACTGATTTCCTGTGTATGTGACAGCTGGAGAACAAAAAATGTAATCTTCATAATTCTCTTATTTTTTTCTACATAGAAAGTCCCTGAATGACAGTCTTTAGAGCTATGGAGAAACTTGGTTTTCCTATGATCTTTAACTTTTATGTGAGTCAGTGATTGTCCAAGAAACTTATTAACGACCTAGTGGATTTCTGGGTAATGGAAAAATAAGGGGTGAAGGAAATTGGACGTTTAAGCTAGTTTATCCTAACAAGGGTGGATACATTTTCGATTAAGATCTTTAACTGCTGCCAGAGACAAAGGATTTCCATAATGAAGGTGACGCTCAAACTTACAAGTGGATCCTGCAGCTGAAAAACAAACAGAAAAATTAGTATGGAGAGGCTGGTGAAAGAGGACATAATTTTTCTTTTATTCTGAGAGTCTCAGAAATGCCCATGGAATGACCATTCTCCTCAATGGAAGAGCACAGAAAACTTGCCATTATACCTAGGGCCATCTATCTCCTGCTCAGTCTGAGAGGCTGCAGGAAAGGGAGATGACTGTCTTTTCTTTTTTTTTTTTTTCAGTAACTGCTAAAACTGCCTGAAATCCTGCGTGGGATTGGAAATGTCTTTAATTTTAAATTCTTTAAATAAAGGTGCTGCTTTAACCTTTATTCTTCTATTGCTGTTATCATGTGCAGGCTTTCAGTTACTGATAAAACATTATCCCTCCCTTGTTGACAGATGACTATACACTTCGGATAGCTTCCTTTGATTACCATATTTTTTTGATCAGTGTGGTTTGTATTTTCAATTCATTCATTTCTGTAGGGGGCGAGACAGCAACTAGATAGTGGGTTAAGATAAAGAGATGGAGGAACATGTGTTTTTATACCCACAAGAGGGATGCAAGTGAAGGGAAAGGATCCTTGTAGGAAGCCAAAGGCAGCTATCAAATGAGAACAGGCATGGAACTTACTGTTCATTTCTGAAGGTTCAGCTGGTGAAAAATGAAAGGGAAGAAAAGGGAAAAATCAGCATGTTTAGAATAAGAGAAAAATCAGTTTTCCCAAGAGAGGCCTTATTTTTTAAATGTAATTAAAATGTAAGTTTATTTCAGTGCAAAAAATTTTTGAAATCCATGTAAAATTATCTTCATAATATATATTTCCCCTGTACTTTTTGAAGATCTCTGCATGTTGCCCTGCCTTTTCTTTACTTCAGTTCCCAAAGGGCAGAAAAATAACCCTGCAATTTAACCGAAGACTTTTTAACATGGAAGGAAACAGTTCAGCTTTTTCTTTTTTTATAGAAAACTTTTATTTAATAAATATAAATTTCAAAAGTACAACTTTTGGATTGTAGCATTTCTTCCCCCTATAACCACCCCCCTACCCAGAAACCATCCCATCTACTCCTTCTCCCATCCCATTCTTCATTAAGATTCATTTTAATTATCTATATACAGAAGATCTCTATACTGAGTAAAGATTTCAACAGTTTGCACCCACAAAGACACCAAGTATAAAGTACTGTTTGAAGACTAGTTTTACTGTTAATTCTCATAGTAAAACACATTAAGAACATAGATCCTATAAGAGGAGCAAGTGCACAGTGACTCCTCTTGATTTAACAATTGACACTCTTATTCATGACATCAGTAATCACCTGAGGCTCTTGTCATGAACTGCCAAGGCTATGGAAACCTCTTGAGTTCACTAACTCTGATCTTATTTAGACAAGGCCATAATCAAAGTGGAAGTTATCTCCTCCCTTCAGAGAAAGGAACCTCCTTCTTTGATGGTCCCTTCTTTCCACTAGGAAATCACTAAAAGAGATCTTTCATGCAGGTCATTTTTTGCCACAGTGTCTTGGCTTTCCATGCCTGAAATGCTCTCATGGGCTTTTTATCCAGATTTGAATGTTTTAAGGGCTGATTCTGAGGCCAGAGTGTTGTTTAGGGCATTGTTCATTCTATGAGTCTGCTGTGTGGCATGCTTCCCATGTTGGATCATTCTCTCCTTTTTAATTCTATCAATTATTATTAGCAGACACTTGGTCTTATTTATGTGATCCCTCTGACAATCTCTCTTCATGATCAGCTATGAACTTGAACTGATTACTTTAACTAGTAAGATAGCATTCGTACCTGCCGACTTAATGGGATTTGGAGTCCCATGGCAAGTTTTGAGCTTTACCCTTATGGGTAAGTCCGAGGGAGTGTATGCCGAACTATAGATCTCCTCCCTCTCCAAGAGAGGCCTTTTAAGAGTAACTTCAGAGAGGAATCAGGGAGTTCTAAATCCTGCATATTAGCTTAGTTTTCAGTCAGTGTCTGGCTTCAAGTTGCCCACCTTTGTGTTATGTGGTTTTAGGCTTGGTGCTGATCAGTGGCAAGAGAGTGGCTATAAAATGATAAAATAAGGCTTCATTCGTCATTTCCATACCACTTCCAGAGTCATAATATCTTAAACTTGTACTTCTAAATACTTTCATCTTTTTCATTTTATTTAATCTCTCTTTCCTACCTAATCTTTTAATTGATCTGAAAAGTTTTCTTCTCAATCCTTTTTGGGAGCCACTAGTTCTTGTTATAGTTATTTTAATATTAGTCAGTGCATTTTGAACTTTATCCAAGTCACTTGTAATTTAGGAATAAACTAGAAAGGAAAACAAGTATTAATAATTTTAATTTATACATTATTATTTTTAAAGTGTTTACACATGGGGAGAGAGAGTCAAGTGGGGAGAATGTAAGAGCAACGATTTTATATACTCATATAAGTTTTCTAGCATGTGGGCTACTAGGGAACTCTGTGTCAGGTAGTTGCATCCTTTGCTCCAGTGAGATCCGCTGACACAGGCTGGCTTGTATTTTCTCTCTACAGGAATTGTGAGAACTTCCAAGGCTGTAGGTCTTGTAGATAATTAAGAATATTGGAGAGGTAGCATTAATTTAAGTGAATAGCAAATAAGTGATGTCTTTTATGCATATATAAGAACTATAGATAGAACCAGCATCTAGAACAAGAAACTTGTAGTTTTAGTGGTCATGGTATGATTGTGTGGGTGGTTGCCCACCCTTTCCATTTTTTGAATTTAATTTCTAAGATATCTTGTAGGATTGTATACTCCATGATATCAGGGACAAACCACATCTTTTCCTGTATTGTTCATGCCTTTATGCATCAGTAGATTAATACCTCAATTTACTTAATTTTTGTTATCTTTCCTCTCATTTACACCTACTTTTTTATAATGTATGTCCATCATTTTATTTTTTTTAACTTTTATTTACTGAATATAAATTTCCAAAGTTCAGCTTATGGATTACAGTGGCTCCCCGCCCCCATAACTTCCCTCCCACCTGCAACCTTCCCCTTTCCCACTCCTTCTCCCCTTCCATTCACATCAAGATTCATTTTCGATTCTCTTTATATAGAAGATCAGTTTAGCATATATTAAGTAAAGATTTCAACAGTTTGCACCCACATAGAAACACAAAGTGAAAAATACTGTTTGAGTACTAGTTATAGCATTAAATCACAATGTACAGCACATTGAGGACAGAGATCCTACATGAGGAGTAAGTGCACGTGACTTCTGTTGTTGACTTAACAAATTGACACTCTTGTTTATGGCATCAGTAATCACCCTAGGCTCTTGTCATGAGTTGCCAAGGCTATGGAGGTCTTTTGAGTTCACCGACTCTGATCATATTTAGGCAAGGTCATAGTCAGAGTGGAAGTTCTCTACTTTTAAAATTTACAACTACTGAGACTCCAAGACAGATGAATAGAGGTGTCCAACACTAGCCTAATCCTCCGCAGAGAAAAACCAAAATACTGAGTAAATAACTGCTTTTCAAGAATAGTGCCTGAGGGAGAACACTGGAACTCAGCAAAGGAATCATGTGGAACACAGTAACCTTGGCTGGCAGCATAAAGAGAGGAACAAGATACACCTGCAACTACAACCTTAACTCCACAGGCAGAGGAATCCATTGGCAGGGGAGAAGATAAGGAGCAGATTCCATCTCCAGGGATGCTAGATGCTGATAGTTTCAGGTACATGTGGGATGTGTAGTAGTTGCAAGCTTGAAGCCCAGTAATGGGAGCTACCTGAGCTTTGCTTCATAGAAGGAACTCAGATTGTCTCCCCTAAAATCTGAAGTGTAGGTTGTGGCAGTATGACATAATCTTGAGAAAGGGGCCACTATTAGAGTCCACACTACCTTAGGTACAGAGACCCTGGCATATCCCAAACCCTGTGACCGCATAGACATCCTGATATATTGAAATAAGTATTGCAACCCTACAAACTCAGCAAGATCCAACAGTGCAACTGTGACCTCAACACTAGCCCTAGCAGTGCCCTGCAATACTGAGGACAGCTGGTTCACCACAGCAGGAAGTCTCTTCTCTGGGAACCTTAGACTTGGTGTGCTTGCTCCTGTGAACTGGCAGTCCATCCTTTGTGACTCTATGTCTCCCTAGGGAATTATGGGTCATACACGCCCTCAGTGGAATTCAGGCTAGTACTACTGCACCTTTGGAACAATTCCTTCTAGCACCATGGAGAGCCATTTGTCTCTGCTGTATTTTGCTACTGGGAACCCAGCAACAGTGGAATGAGGGCTGGTATTTCAATGATCACAGCCCCAACCTGGAGGTCACTACTGGGAACTACACACTCTTACTGAGACTGAACAGCTTGCCCAGACTCCCACTAGTGCTGTCATTGAATACAGTAGTAGAAGACATGAGGAGACAATACTACTGGAAGTAGAGCCAAAGTGGTCTACCAAAACAATATTTGAAGACATATCTTTGGAGGAAAAAGCCTTTTACCACAAATCCACCCTTTACAAATGATAGAGACAACTGATCTCTATCAGCTAGAGGCACAAATATTGTTTTTTTTAAAGATTTTTTTTATTTATTCAAAAGGCAGAGTTAGAGAGAGAGAGAAAGAGAGAGTGAGTGAGAGAGAGAGGTCTTCCATCTGCTGTTTCACTCCCCAAATAGCTGCAATGGCTGAAGCTAGGCCAGGCTGAAGCCAGGATTCAGGAGCCAGGAGCTTTTCTGGGTCTCCAGCGTGGGAACAGGGGCTCAACACTTGGGATGTCCTCTATGCCATTCCCAGGTGCATTAGCAGGGGGCTGGATTGGAAGTGGGGCATCTGGGGTTCAAACTGCTGCCCATATGGGATGCCAGCACTGCAGGTTGTGGCTTAACCCAGTATGTCACAATGCTGGCCCTATGCACAACTATCATGAAATAAAACAAGAAGTATATAATAAAAAGGCAATACACAGGGGGCTGGTACCTTGGCGCAGTAGGTTAATCCTCTGCCTGTGGCGCCGGCATCCCATATGGGCGCCAGTTCTAGTCCTGGCTGTTCCTCTTCCAATGCAGCTCTCTGCTGTGGCCTGGGTAAGCAGTAGAAGATGGCCCAAGTCCTTGGGCCCCTGCACCCACAGGGGAGACTGGGAAGAAGCATCTGGCTCCTGGCTTCAGATCAGCATAGCTCCGGCCATTTGGGGAGCAAACCAACAGACAGAAGACCTTTCTCTCTGTCTCTCTCACTGTCTGTAACTATGCCTCTCAAATAAATAAATAAAATCTTTAAAAAAAAGAAGGCAGTACACAATAATGCTTTAGTAACAGACTCCAAAAAAATGGAGGTAGGATATTTGACAGAGAATTCAAAGGAATGATTATAAGGATACTCAAAGAGATCCACAGACTGCAAATAGTTTAATTAAATTAGGAAAATGCATTATATGAATAAGGAATTTAGTAAAAAGATAACAAAAATTAGAGTTGAAAGCCTCAGTAAGGCTAGATTAATTATAATAAATATTATCTGAACTTTAACACAGATCTTATGACATATTTCAATTAGACAAAAGACAAAAGATAAAACAAAAGAAATGGATTCCGGCAAGATGGCGGAATAGGAAGGGAGCACACTGATAGTCTGGGGAGAGATAGTTTA